CGTACAAATTCATTCTCGCGCACGCTTAGGTCTCATACAAGGACGAGTAAAATTTTTGGCGCCAAAACTAATAATTGGGGAACCACAAACATAAGAGGCAGAAGTTTTAGGAGAATGTTCATTGCTCATGCTCGACTCTGTAACATAAAAACCAGCCTCCTTGCTCTCTCGGGTCTCACGTGTGAACGTTTTGGCGTCAAAATTAATAATTCTGAAGCCATAAAAATTTCTTTACGTATTAAACAGAAATGCAGCGGACAATTTTAAAATCATGGTTCCCCTGGACAATGTTGGTTCCCTTTGTCAGAACTGTACAAGCGCCAGATGGATAGGATTGCACAAAACGCATGATTGCACCAGCTATCCTGGCGCGCATCGTTATTTATTTGAGTCTGATCAACTGTAATTCAGACACTCTTTCTATAATTCAGACCGTTAATTAAAAAAAAAAAAAGATGCAAATTTAAGAATGAAACATTTGAGAGTCAGAGGTGAAAATCACCCAGCCAATTTTGCCAAAAAATGTTTCAGTCATCACCTTGCAGATAATGTAATAAAACTGATCAATTACTGTGCTCAAACTGTAAACAGTTAATTGATCTTTTACAAATACAGATGGAAGGCCTGCATAAAATGAAAATTTTTTATAGCTTGTGAAAATAGCGTCCAACAGCTAATGCCAAATAAGCTCTAGTTGCTAAATGTGGATCGTGGGGGGCCTTTTTTAATGTGATGGTTAAAAAAGGTCGTGAATCGAAGGAACCGGAGAGAGAAAAAAGGATGAACAGTCCAATTCCCTTCCGACCCATGCTTCTGAAAAAGGTGCTCTAATCTGAACAAGTAATTCTTTGATATGATGTTGAAATCTATTCGACTGAAATTGTGAATCCATCGACTAAAAGCCTACAGCAAGACATGGAAAAAAGCAAACCTTATCCAGAGAAGCCTCAACGCCTTTGGAAATTTTCTGAAGATTCTCAATGAATGATTCTTTGTAGTTCTCCCTTGAAGCCCTGCAACACAAGAATAACTCACAAACTGCGCAAAACGATATTTCACAGTAATTTTAGGTTAACTGAAAGCTTTACATTTCCTGGACATCCTCGATACTGTTTAGCATGTCCAGTTCGCGCTTCATGAACGTCTGAATGTCAACCAGTGTGTTGTGCAGTATGTAGAACTGTTTCGTTTCTCGGTGCTTGCTTACCACTGAAATCATCCGAAGTGGCGTTGCAGCTCTATTTAATGCAAAAATCATCGAAAAGCGAAAAAGCAAACTGTGATTGTAAAGTTCGATGATACGCCGCTGATACTGAGTGATCTCGGTCTGCGCCGGAACAGCATCGACAATGCGATGCTGAGCTGCAATCTGTCGATTCAAATCCGCCAGCTCGAGCCGAAGTTTGTTGAGGCGCTCTTCGTCAGACCTCTCGGGTTCAGTCAAATTATTGTCACCCTACAAAAGTTCGCCTTATTCATACGGGAAGCAACATGAAGTTCATTTTTCACAACATTTTGGTTCATTTTTCAAAAACTAACAGAAAACTGAAAATCATATAAAACTATGGCCCAATCTGTTGGGGCAAAAGCGAATTTTCTCACGCTTTGTCTCGGAAATAAACTGTACTGAGGCGTATGAAAACTGACTTCAACTCGCGCTTGCAAGAGGGGCACAGCCTCTCCAACAAATGAATGTTGCTGTCAAAATGCTGCTAGTCCAACCACGTTTGAGTGCCACAAACGGAGATTTATCATAGAAAGTGAATGCTGACTGGGCTAAGTCAGTTGATGGAAACATTACCTGTTCTCTGTTGTGATCAGCTGAGTTCAGTCTTTCAAGCTCTTC